ACAATAACAGGGTAATGTTTCTAAAAGCCTCTAATCCAGCAAATGTTTGGTGCCTTCTGCTTCCTAAACTGACCTAACCTGGGAGAAAATTCTAATACAGAATTTTAATAGTATCTGGAGTCACTTTGTCAATAAATCAGCACCGTGTTGGGGTGTCATGGGTGGAACACATCTTCTGTTGCCAGAGAAGACAACAGCTTCATCACAGGAATTGAAAGAAGTGCAAATATCTAGTTGCTCATGTTTCAGACCTTTTTGTCAGCAGTAAATTAGACTTTGTGTATCCCTGTGTACCAACCCAATTGCTCCAACACTACTGGGCCCCCTGATCAGAAAACATCCCCACACAAATGGAAGAGGCACAGTGGGATCCTGCCACTGACAAAATTAGAGTACATTTTCTAAATCAGTTTTTCATGTTGACAACAATCATTTATTGCAATCCAAAGTGTCTGAAATTAATTGTCAATATTAAACCTAGGACTGGCAGCTTGGTCTTCACTTGGAGACACTTGCCTAAATACACAGTCCTCCCTGGAAATCTGCTGCTCCCTGCATCCCTGTGGCCTTGGTGCTCCACAAAGACTTGCAACCATTGAGGTACATCATCCCCATTTGGATTTGTTTCTGTAGAGCAGCATTCACAATAGCAAAGGAGAAGATTAAGCAAATCTAGCAGCATGCAAAACCTGAAACTTCTTCAAGTTACCAAAAGTGAATTACTGAATTGAAAACATGCCCAAATGAGCTGTTTCCCTCCACAACACACAAGCAATGCATGTGACTGCTGAAACTTGGTTTACAGTCTCAGATCATCGCTCTCTATGCAATGCAGTCCTGTGAACATGCAGCAGCTCCAGTAAAACCTCAGTGGGATCACAAAGTGGGAAAGACAAACAAAATATTGCAGAAAGTCTTAGGTGGAAGCAAATAACATTTGTTTCTCTGCACAGCAATTATGCTACTAGTGAAAAAGCATTTTATCCTTATATATAATTAGTTAAATATTTATATACCTCCAGTCATACAATAAAGCAAATCATACTTATTTTTCCCCCAAGTCTTTTGATTTAAATGAACAAATCCTCTATAAATTGGCTGTTGATCTGGATGCAAGAAAAGATTAAACAGATTTGCTGGATTATTCATCAAACCATTGTGTCCATTTAATCCCTGATTTTTTTCAAAAGAGGCAAATTTATCTGCCGTGCTAAAAGCTGGAATCAAAATATTGAATTTGCTGAATGACCATCAGGAGTAGAGGGACAGCACAGCCTTTGCCCTCTGAAGATGCTGCTGCTGTAGCAATGCTGTACGCTAACATCAGCACAACAACAAGGGTAAGAAAATGAACCATGAGGTTGTCCATGGAATTTAAACATTCTTCCCAGTGAGCCCCTGAGCTTTTAAACTCAGGACAGGATCAACCAAGGATTTGGATCTGACCCTTTGGTCTTCCCATTGCTCCTGCTCCTTGGCTCAGTGATGACAAATAAAAGCAACTGTGCTTGGGAAGGGTAGGAAATGCCACCCTGTCTGGAGCACATTGGAAGCATGGGATGGGACTCTAAATCCTGCCAAAAGATGGGACTCTAAATCCTGTGCATTATTTGACTGTATATCACAACTGAATGTGGCTAAATGTAAGCACCAAATGGGAAATCCCTGACTACCTATGGCTAGACACATTCCTTTGCTTTTCAGGATAATGGCAACAGAGCTTTGCTATCCTCCTCCATCCTGAACAGATTCCAACCCTGTATGGTTGGAAATGTTGCCAAAAGATGGGACTCTAAATCCTGTGCATTATTTGACTGTATATCACAACTGAATGTGGCTAAATGTAAGCACCAAATGGGAAATCCCTGACTACCTATGGCTAGACACATTCCTTTGCTTTTCAGGATAATGGCAACAGAGCTTTGCTATCCTCCTCCATCCTGAACAGATTCCAACCCTGTATGGTTGGAAATGTTGCTGTGAAATGTCTCTCCCAGGGTCATGACTTTTATGCACACTATGAGTCCTCTTCTAAACAAGGCAGCAGCATTTCTATTCACAGAGGAGCAGCATTTTCCAGGATGACTGACAGGTTGTTGTGTTTTGCTGTTTGTTTGCCTACATGTTTTCCTTTTCTGGGAGAGAGCAAGCATTTGTTCAACTGACATGGCATTAATGAGGTGCTAATTCCATTTATCCTGCTGTGCCAGTATGTCACACAATAGTAGGTTTCTGCCTTGGGAGATCTGGGTCTTACAGATAGGAAAACAGGATCTGAATCAATACAGATACAGACATACATATCCATCTGTGGTTTTAAGGCACTGACAATGAGCCCTGTGTTTTACTATAAATCCTTTATTCATAGGGGAAAAACTAGTTTTCCCATGTGTATCAGAAATGAACACTGATCAAATCATTCCAAAAACTAAAGCAAACCCGATTTTCTTCTGGGTCTAGAAAGCCAATAAAAGCATCTCAGAATTGCAGTGACAGGGGAAAGATAAATTGTGTGCTTCAAAACAAATATATCTCCAAACCAATTTAATACTGAAAGGATCTGAGAAAGAGGGGAGGAGGACTTTTCACTTCACGGCTTTCTTTACATAGAATTCCTTCAGAAATGGAGATGAAAATCACTACCTAGATGCATGAAGTTGCACACAAAGCATTAGCAACTTCCATTTACAAGCAAATTAGCTATTATGGCATAGCCTTAGAGCACTATAGTGGGTTTAAAGCTGAATTAGACTGACATTACACTAGATGGAGTCGAAAAATCCTGGGATTTTGCTTCATTCTTGAGCTTTGTTTTGCTCAGGCATCACCTTACACAGCCCTTCCCTGCTCTCCACTGAGCTCTCTGCCTCTGAGCTTGGCAGCAGTGTCCCCTCCTTCAACCCTACTCCTCCAGCACTGATTTCCAGCATGAGCAAGGAGGCACAGTAGGGCAGGTCCCAGGTCCATAAACTGTTTACAATTCCTTCAGCCCTTTCCATTGTGAGGGTGCTCCAAACTACAGATTTATCTTGTAGTTTACAATACAAAGCTGCACTATATGTGACCCGAAACTGTGAAGATTACATTTCAGAGTAAAACCCCAATTTAGGTATGGATTTGTCACGTAAAAAAAGAAACTTAAAATTTAGTGATGAGGATGAGAAAGTACAATAAACTTATGTAATTCACCTTGGCATGGAGAGTCTGGTCAGCTCCCAGAGATTACTTAGTACTGGTGAATGCTTTTATATATTTGCCTTTCTTGCAGATTATATGTGACAAGAATAGTCTTGGGGAGTTATTACATAAGAAGGACTATTTAAAGTTTATTCATTTTAGTGTAATTCTGACATTTCTAAATTAAAAACAGCCTGCTTCTCGTTCTTGTGGTGCTGGAGAAGCTCAGAGAATCTCCAGTCCAGAAAATGTATTCTCAATTCATAGCTGAGTGTTTCACATTGGGAAGTGACTTTACTAATCACAGTGCACTACAACTTCCCCTGTGAAGAATTCCTGGGTGCATCATGCACGAAGTCTAGTCTCACTGCCCCCCAAACACTCCAAGCCCTGTTCTTGTAGCCATGCAGACTTAATGAGAAAATAAAGACTGTTTGAAGACAGACAGTCTGTGCTGAGTGCTGAATACCTAATTCAAGTCTGCACTAGTGTACTACCCAAACAATGGGTTAGGCTCAAGTTTTCGTGCCCCTTCCAACTGAACCATGGTTGTCCATGGATATTCAGTTGGAAGGACACCAGTTGTGGTGTCCTCAGCCTAAGAAGGATGTGGAAATGTTGGAGCAAGTCCAGAGGAGGCCACAAAGTTGCTAAGAGCACTGGAGCATCTCCCCTGTGAGGACAGGCTGAGGGAGTTGGGGCTGTTCAGCCTGGAGAAGAGAAGGTTGTGTGGAGACCTCAGAGCAACTTTTCAATACATGTATGAAATGTTAAAATCCATTTACTTGGCAGTATTTAGCTTTTAGAGAACTCCTGAATGGTGTGTACAAAGATGCTGTTTGCATGGAAAACAGCTACTCCAGTACATCACGTAGTAATCAACTGCTAATCTAAATATGCACATACATCTCAAGATTTAAAATATTCCACAATCTCCTATCTGAAATCAGCAACAGTTTTCCTTCTCTTGCCAATTCCATCCTGCTTTTCTGTAGGAAGTGCTTCATCTGCACTATTTGGTCAGAACAAATTTCATAAATATTGCTTAGCTGTTTCCATATGAGACATTGTCAAGAGCTATTAACAAATATGCTAGATACCCTTTACTTCCTCTTGAAGACCAGAGAAAGAAATACATAACTGTGCAACATATATTATGTAACACTTGGAGTAGAAGTAATTAAAAGGAAAATAAAGACAAAAAAAAGAATCCTGATTTAAATCTGGACAGGTCCCATCTGACAAACTGTTTTGAGAAAACATCCATATCAGCTTGGATTAATGCAGATTAATTTTTTATAGTTATTCCAGTACAGGTGACAAAAATAAAACCCTGACAAGTAGAAGTGACAAATTTCAGTTCTTAGGTGATAAAAGCTGCCTAACTAATCTAATACTTCTATAATTTCCAGGGACACCTCTTTAATGCTGCACATCACTTGCCTTCTAAAATCTGCTGATGTAAGTGATTCAGGCACAGCCTCCAGAGCATTTTGGCAATTTTACCTCATAGTTAAAGTACAAAACAGCATGATTTTGTTAACTCAGCTTCATACCCTCTAAGACCAATTTCTGTCATCTCCTACATCAGATTCAGGGCAGTATTTTTTCTCCACAGCACATCACATCATCTCTAGGAGCACAGTTATCAGTGCAGCAAGTCCTCTGGCACATTCTCCTGCAATGTCTGAAAATCATTGCTTAAAAAGGGCACAATGGGATTAGCAAAAAAACAATGTTTCTTGAAGAAACATATAAAGGCAACAGAATGGAAAACTACCAAGGCTTTGTAGGTGAAAAAACCCCAAAGCATTTAGCCTTACTTGTGCAAGGTTTGAGATGGACGGTCATTTTTCTCCAGTTGTCCATAGCAGCTCGTTTTTGCTTCAGGAATGAAGGAGTATTTTTCCATCATGGCTGAGGCAGCAGTGGCAATAACCCCAAGGCCATCCCGTACTCGAGCTTCTAAACTGTAGTCCCATTCATCATAAGCTGCTGAAATGAGTCCTGAAGGAAACTCCTTGGGAGTGATTTCTGTGTTACCACTAACCAGGCTGGGAACTATCCAAAAGAAATCATAGCCAGTGAGGCCCAAGGATCGAGCCTCATCCAGTATGTAGACAGCTTCATCCTTGGAACAATACAGCAGGATGACAGATGAATGGATTTTCTTCAGCTGGATTTGGGTCTTGGCGTCTCCAAAGGCAGTATCGAGTATGATGACGTTCTGCATGTCCCAGCCCACAAAACTATTTTCCACAGTGGTCTTAATGACACTGATGAAATCTCGGTATCCAGGGAAAGTGGTGGTCACCAGGGAGAACACATGCCAGTCATAATCCTGCATGATCTTCAGCATGATAATGGCTTCTTGCTGGATGGAGGCCCCAAACTGGAAGAATGTGGACATCACATCCTAGAATACCAAACACAGCAAAAGATTAACAATTTGGCACAAGCCAAAGGGAAAAGAATCTCTGATCCTTCTCTCTTTGTTCTACCACAGCTACCAAACTTCTGTTGCATTCCAATACTTTCTGAGGCTTATCATGTTAGTACCATTACTAAGCAACACTGATCATGAGTACCACAGCTGATGAAAATATTTGCCAAAAAGTGACAAACTGAGATTTACTTTGTAAATTTCTGAGTGTTTGATCACTTGAAGATAAAACTCAAATCAGTGCCTACTGTGGGAGCTCCCTAGGGACAGCCACCCACGGTCACACAACTCTCCAGCAGGCAGCTGCAGACTCAATTTAGGCCAGTTTTTAATTACAAGGGATCTAAGTTGCAATGCACGTGCTGTACACGTAAATGAAGAAGCTCTGTATTTCTAGACCTAATGCCTGAGGAACACTTTGTTTCCACAGGTTCCCTGGACTTTGTGGAAGCTTTGAAACTCCACAGAGGCAGATTTGGTGTCCTCCACTACTGAGCTCAGCACTGTCCATGGCCTCATTGCTGGTCCTGCTCCATTCACAGCACATGAGCCACTGATGCCTGATGGAGAATTAGCACGATGGGACTCCAGGGACAACCAGCAATCTGTTGGTGTCCTCATTAAAGGGCTTAACTGGAAGGAACTTCAAACAATGTCCTCATTGGGTGTAACTGGTCTGGAACATTGCCCAGCACAGATTTGTTTCTAATAGTTGTCTCATGATTTACAGTGTTCATAACATTTCACACAGCATAGGGGCAGGTGCTGCTTATTTTAACAGCATCTGTCAGAAACAGGCAGCACAATACACTTTGTTGGCACTAAGTTTACATCTCTTTTTACTAAATTGTGTAGGACCAACCCTGGTAGTGTTCAAGGCCAGGCTGGATGAGTCTCATCTAGTGAAGAGGTGTCCCTGCCCAGGGCAGGGAGGGTTGGGACTATAAGGTCCATTCCAACCCTTCAATTCTATGATCTAAATTACCAACAATTATTAATGTGCCAAAACAATACACATAAAGATATATAACTCTTCATTTTCACTTTACTTCAGAATTTATTCCTAACCAGTAGTGGCAACTTCTGTGCCTCCTTTTCAGATAGAAAAATCATGAACTCCTGGTGAAAGAAAAGCTTATGATTTAAAAATAAGATGTGAATCATTCAAGATTTCTTATGCAGCCTTCAGAGGAAAGACACATGCGGTGCTTTTAATTTAAAGAGTTTTATGAACATGGTTGTGAACTGCTATCCTATTTTACACTTGCAGGGAAGAGAAACAGATTAATTGACTTAGGTTTCATGGCAAGGTGGTGTTAAACATAGGATTATTAGGGAGAAGAGTAACTCAGCTCTGCAAGCTCTGTAAATCTGTTCCAAGCAAACTGTCTGTATTTTTTTAATAGAAGATGAGGAGTGTTATTACTTTCCAAGTGTTAAGAAGCTGACGCCAAGATTTTATACAGCTTGACAGCAATAAAAGTCTTACAACTTGTGTCAGACCATGAAGACTGATACTGAAGGTAGAAAACACACTGTTGGTGGTAATGAAATCATCTGCCATGGTTTCTTTTTTGCCCCCACCTTGGCATTCTGAATGCCACTGCCAGATTTGAGGTGGTCTGAGGGTTAATTCCATGTGTTAGAAAACATATTTGGAAGACTTGAGTTAGGAAGATTTGACTGCT